TGTGACGGTAGAGGGAAGTCCAAGGGTCAATGCCCTACCCTCCTCTTCATCAATGACGTGGCCGGAAATGAGTCATAAAAGTAATCCGGGTTCTTTATTGCCACGCCTTGTATATGAGACATAACAAAGAAAGATCTACAAATGAACGGTATATTTACAGAAATACATAATCCCATATTCGACATTCTTGCAAAAACACATATGCCAAATAACTCCACCACTTCCCTCTCTCTTCATCCATTCACAGTATCCTCCCCCCTACCTCATACAACTTGACACTCTACAAACATAGACACATATACAGATTACCCCCAAACAACTAGTCTAAACTCAATCGCTACAGAATAGCGACAACATCAACATAGAGAGAATCCTGTATACATACGAGGGTCATACTGAAAGTCATGAGCAACCTTTTTTTTGTAGAGTAACATGCTATATTATTGACAAACCAAATAGACCACCTCAATCTACAGAACTTTCTTTATTTTTCCACATAATCGACACTTCTTTGTACACATTTCTCCCAGCATTCTGGGAGTGTGTGGAATTCCATTCCAGCCATCCGAAGGCACTGACGCACTGCTTTCTGAATTGCTTCCCTTGTCTCAAAACATTGTCCACGTAGCTGATCCTTCACAAATCCGAAAAGATGGTAGTTGGAGGGTGCCAGATCAGGGCTATAGGAAGGGTGTGGAAGAACTTACCACCCCATCTTTGCAATTGCTTCCAGTGTGAGGCGAGTGTTGTCATGCAGGATGATGATGTTTCGTCTCGGACATTTATTGTGCAATGCACAGTGGAGCTTGTGCAGCATCTGGATATAATGAGCAGCATTGATGGTTTGCCCAGGTTCCAGGAATTTAGCCAGAATAAACCACTCTGCATCCCAGAAGACTGTGCCCATCACCTTCACAGCTGATGGCACTGTCTTTGCCTTCTTTTTTGATGGAGAATGCAAATGGTGCCATTCCATATTCTGCCGTTTTGTTTCAGGCTCGAAATGGTGAAACCAGCTTTCGTCACCTCTCACAATACAGAACCAAAAATCATCACCTTCGTGTCAATATCTCTGCAGCAGTTCTGAGGTGATGGTTTCACTGATCTTTGTGGTCTTCGATCAATAACAGCGGGACCCAACGAGCACAAACTTTCCTATAGCCCAAGCTTTCAATCATCTCCTCTGCTGCACTGTGCCTATTCCAAGTTTTCGGGCTATTGTGTCCACAGTCACACGCCTGTCATCTTGAATGATCTCATCCACTCTTTCCTTGTTGCATTCAGTTGAGGCTGTTCGAGGATGACCGCTCTGAAGCTCATCTTTGATGCTGGTGTTCCCATCTTTAAAATGCTTCACCCATCTTGAACACTGCTCGCACCCATGAACACACTTCCATAAGCACGCTGAAGTCTCTGGTGAATTTCNAAAGTTGCTTATGATTTTCGGTGCGACCTACGTATCATCATAAGAAAATCAAATATACATAAGTACATATGCTTAATAACCTAATAATGAATTAAATAACAACACACTCACAGGCTTGTGCTTTCAATAATTAAAAAAACTGTTACAGATCACTCTGAATAAATAACCTGTTGGGTGACATACAGAATAACGAGCATAAGCTCCACAAGAAGATAGTAAGGCCAAGACCACATGACCTAACTCATGTGAGATGATTCTGATACTCGGGCGCCCCACACTATAGTTGCTTCTACCACCAGGAAATCACGTCAACACAAAGCAGTCACAGAGTTTTAAAGATATTTATCACAAAATTTTTCTTTTCCATTTTAGTTCAATTTTAATTTTTATGTTTTAGTCTTTTATCTCTAATTTTTAAATTTTATAGTCCGAGTATTTCAATTTTAAGAGAAAGACTAAACTTATACATTTTAGAACACTCAAGTGCACAATAAGGATCCTTACTAAAGAATTAGATGCAAATTGTTAAATGCAATTCAGCAACTGAGTCTGGTATTATTATACACCTGATGATGACCCAGTATAAGGGTCAAAACATGTAGCATCATTGAAAACAAATGTTGATATGACAGTGTATACCTTGTTTTAAATATAGAATGTTGTTGTTTAGACTGCATATCTTTTGTATGCATTTTACATATGTAGCTGTTCCAAGGCATTCGAACACCTGCTTCTACACAGGGTGCTGTGCCCAATACCATTTCACACATCCAGAGGTAGTGGCCATTTTCTGGCAAAAGCCAAACGTTTATATTGTCAAGGAATCTTGTGTGGCATCCTAGAGATGACTCATAAGGATTTGTTATACAAGTAGGTATCAGGGTGGACATGTCTATTGAACTGACAGTATGATATTCCTCTTTTTGAGGCCTTTTCTGTACTTATACATGGTGTGTCCAGGATCTGTTAGGACTCTTTTTTTTTTTTGGTCCTGCAATGCCATCTGTTGGTGAGTTGTTGTGTTAAGATTCTTGAAGTTTCAGCTGTGGCTGCCTATAATTTCAAATTGCAAGCATCACTCATCATGTGTTCTGACCTTGAATGTAACAGTACTGTTCTGACGCTTGTCTGAAAATGGTGATTGAACAGAGAGCCAACATCAGATTTTATTTGAAGTTAGGCAAAACAGCTCGAGAAGTGTACAAAATGATGAAAAGTGTGTATGGCAGTGATTGTTTGAGTCGCTCAAACATATTTTGATGGAATGCTGTATTTTGTGATGGTAGGGAGGACATTGAAGAAGCTTCACATGCATCAAAGCCGAGACCAAGTTGCACTGAAGAAAATATGAAAAAGTGACCGAAATCCCTGCATCAGACAGATTTGTTTCTGCAAGACTCATCGAGTTGCTTTTGGGAATACCAAAATGTACTGTGCATCAAATTTTGACTGAGGATTTGGGCAAATGGAAGGTCTATGTGCCGTTTGAACCACACGTGCTGTAAGGCGATGAAAAACATGCCAGAGTGGAACACTGCAAAGACATGTTACGGTGGACCCAAAGTGATACAAAATTTACGAAATTGATAGTTCCTGGTGACGAGAAATGGTGTTTTCAATATGATCCTCTCACATAGTGGCAGATGCAGCGTGGTTGAACCCACGAAGCCGAAACCAAAGAAAGTGCACATGCAAAAGAGTCGAGTAAAGACACTGCCAACTGTTTTCTTCGATTCCAAAGGAATCATTCACTAGGAATTTCTGCCAGAAGGTCAAACAGTGAATTCTGATTATTATCTCAGAGTCATCAATCGTTTGTGGTCAAGAATTCTTCAAATTCGACCTGAATATCAAGAGCAAGGTTCCTGGTCGCTCCTCCACGACAATGCCCCAACCCACAAATCAAAGATCGTGCATGATTTTTTCGCCAGAAAAGGGATCACAGTCCTCTGATCATCCTCAGTATTCACCAGATTTGGCTCCAGCAAAGTTAAGTTGGGAATGAAAGGAGACCATCACGACACCATCCAGGACATCCAAAGGGAATATACCGCAGTTTTAAATGCGATTCCACAAAAAGAGTACAGTGACTCTTTGAAAATTTTTCAATCGATTCCAGCTATGTAAGATACAATTCGCAACTGTCCCATTGCGCGTGTGCCCCGAAGCCTCTGTGGCTCAACAGTTCCTGCATAGAGTCAATATTCCACATTGCTCCCTCCTTAANATCGAGAGCAAGGTTCCTGGTCGCTCCTCCACGACAATGCCCCAACCCACAAATCAAAGATTGTGCACAATTTTTTGGCCAGAAAAGGGATCACAGTCCTCTGATCATCCTCAGTATTCACCAGATTTGGCTCCAGCAAAGTTAAGTTGGGAATGAAAGGAGACCATCACGACACCATCCAGGACATCCAAAGGGAATATACCGCAGTTTTAAATGCGATTCCACAAAAAGAGTACAGTGACTCTTTGAAAATTTTTCAATCGATTCCAGCTATGTAAGATACAATTCGCAACTGTCCCATTGCGCGTGTGCCCCGAAGCCTCTGTGGCTCAACAGTTCCTGCATAGAGTCAATATTCCACATTGCTCCCTCCTTAAGTCTGTTGCTCCCAAATAGCCTAACAGTGCATCCATGTTCCTTTTCTTCCCATTGTTTCCACGGATTCTTGCCATTCTTCAACCACTACATCTGATCCCTCTTCAAGAGCAGCTCATCTTGAGCAGTTTCCTACTGATGTGCCAGGAGATCCAATTGTATCACAATCATCCAGACTTTCTCTTCATTTCTCTCTTCCTCTCTCTCTCACCAGTGGGAGCCATAACCCCGCGAGTGTCTGGTGCTCACACTTATCTGGCTACTCTTACTGTAATGCTGTTTCTTTTCTTAATTCAGAGGAGGCTAACCCTTCCACAAGGTCAATATCCTCATTTTCAGTAACCCGCTAGAAATTCCCACTGCTCACTTCGTGATTTCCAGCCTGTTGGTCTTCCTGTAGCTCCCGTTGGTTGTCCTCACGCTTCCAAGCCTTAGACGCTCCTTGAAGTCTCGGCTCCTGGTCAGATTGCAGTGTTCGGCTGAACAGAAGTCATTCAGTAACAAGAAGAAGAACTGAACATGTGATTAGAAGATTTTATGTGTTATAATTAGTGATAGTGGTGATAACTGAGATGGCGTTGTGTATTGGGAGTGTGTAATTCTGTGACACTTGTATAGCTCCCGTGTTGTACTGTAAATGAGTGAAGACTACTGAAGATAGCGTGAAGAGATTAGTATGTAGGGGTTTGTAATTTGTGTAAACCCGCGACAGTGTCATAAATAATTATAGTTATGACTTACAGGTGGTTAATAAAACTGGTTAACAATCTGAATGGCATCTTCAGTAGCCCACACATGTTACAATATATATTGTTTCAAGGATTTTGCTGGGCCATATGCAGCCTTTCTTAGTATTAGCTTTAGCTCAACCTTAACTATTATTTCAATTTAGGAGCCTAGCGACTATTAATTAGATGCCTGTCCAGTTTTACAAATATATATTTTTATTTAATTTTGAATTTGTTAAACAGTGGCAGTGCAGCTTAAATTCGGATGACAGAGAGACCTCCATACATGCTGATCGACTAAGGCACACACCACACAAGGGGGTGTGCTCTCTCGGTCCCTCCCTCTCCTCTCTGTCACCACACTCACACCTACCAATTTAACATCTCACTATACTGTGGCTTCAAACAGATTTCTCTTCCTATTAGGATTTTTCATGTTATTTACTCTCATTTTCCAGGATAATTTGAATGAACTTCAACCTGTACATGGTGAGGAGCGACGATATTCCTGTGATGAATGTGGTGATTCATTCAGTCAAGAGCAAATTCTGATTGCACATCGATGCACACATATTGGGGAGCGGCCATTTTGTTGCACCCTGTGTAATAAGTCATTCAGCCGTAAGAGTCATCTGAAGTCACATCAGCAGATACATAGTGGGGAGCGGCCATTTTGTTGCACCCTATGTAATACGTCATTCATCCGTAAGAGTCATCTGAAGTCACATCAGCACATACATAGTGGGGAGCGGCCATTTTGTTGCACCCTGTGTAATAAGTCATTCATCCGTAAGAGTCATCTGAAATCACATCAGTGCATACATAGTGGGGAGAAGCCATTTTGCTGTAATATATGTAATAAGTCATTCCATGTGCAGAGTAGACTGAAGACACATCAGCGCATGCATAGTGGGGAGAAGACATTACTCTGTGACGTATGTAATAAGGCATTCAGTGAGCAGTATAGTCTGAAGATTCATCGGCGCATACATCGTGGGGAGAAGCCATTTTGCTGTAATGTATGTAATAAGCCATTCAGTCAGCAGTGTGATCTGAAGACACATCAGCGTATACATAGTGGTGAGAAGCCATTTAGTTGTGATGTATGTAATATGTCATTCAGTCAGCAGAGTAATCTGAAGAGACATCATCGCATACATAGTGGGGAGTGGCCATTTAGATGTGATGTATGTAATAAGTTATTCAGTCAGCAGAGTTCTCTGAAAAGACATCAGCTCATACATGTTGATGTGTGTAGTAAATCATAGAGCAGTAGAGATGGGTTTAGTTTCTCATGTTGTAATTAAGACAGTTTTACTGTGTGTGGCATGCTGCATTTTTGTAGATTGCTACAAGATATTGGAGTTGATTGCTATTGCCAACTTTTTGAACTGATGGCTAATGAACTGAGTCCCGTGGTACAAGACGTCTATGCAAATCAGTTCCATTTGATTCTGATTGCTGAATGCGCACATTACCATCTTATTGAGTGAAACAGACATGACACTCTCCTACAGCTGTGATGTTCATTCAGCAGTGAAAATTAACTATTAGTAGTGTGTAGTCACTGAAATTGATCGAGAGCTTATAAACATAATTCGGCGGCAGCATATGTGTTTTGCTGTATTTTATCTGTGCCCTTTTGCCATTACATGTGAGTAAATTCATTGATCAGTTAGTTTCAGATTGATATATCACTTGGAATGAGTATATTGAAATAACTATCGTGGATTTGTTAGACGAATACGAACTATGCTATATTGGACATTCCAAATGACATATCTTTTGGCGAAATTTCTGATTATTCACACTTTTCTTGCCAAGGAACACTTGCTTTACTTTACTTTTCCATTTTGTCTGTCTTCACCATATTGTCACAATTATTCACAGTCACAATTACTGCCAAACTAAAGACTGACTACTCTTCTAAGATCAACTACAAACTGAACTTGTCTCTTGTTGAAGCTGGACTTTTAGAAACTGCGTACAGAATCAATTGAGAACACCAAGTCTCAAGGGTCATTCCACCTGCTGCTCTCGAAGCTGCTTTGACAATTCGTGTGTAATGGTGAAAACTCACTGTTATAATTCCAATATTGCATTGCATCCCATTGTCAAGAAAATCAACTCTGATTCCTATCCGCTGTCTTGGGAACGTTGGTTGTCGCCTAGGAAATTAACTCTGATCTCCTCAGTCACTCCAGCTTTCTGGTGGCACGCCACATTGCTCCCTTCTTAAGGTTTTTCATCCCAAACAGTTTCCTTTTCCTTCATTTCTGGCGATTCCTGCTAGTATCATCTGCGTTCGGTCTTGCCGTTCTTCGCATGTCTTTTGCGCAGTTTATTCTACCTCATCCGCCCTTGAGGGGTGCTCGTCCCAATCAGCTCCATGGTAGTGTTTGGTCAGTTCAGTTTCATCCAACGTGTTCCCTATCTCACACTTTCACTCTCGCTGGGGAGGCTGGTGCTTCTACGTTACTGGCTCCTCCTCTATGCACTGTTTCATTTTTTCTTTTGCTTTGGTGGGGTTGGGCCCCTCCACAGGGTCCAATTCTTGATGTTTTGTGATGGGAGAGGAGTTCTGATAATTTGCATCACGGTCTCATGTCCGATCATATTTCTGAAAGTCTCGATCCTTGTTCCTCTGTTACGTTGCTGTTGCGCCCGTTGTCTCTTCCAGAGCGTCCATCCTTTCGAGGATCCTTACACCACTTTGTTCCTGGTGCTGTTCCTTCCGACCGAGTTTTCCTTGCACCATGCTACTTTCGCATGGCGGGCTATCCTTCGGGGTACGGCCAGTCTTTCCTGGAAGATATCTGTCCCTCCTCGTGTCTCCACTGCAGAATGGGACCCCTTCCTGTCGTTTTGCTTTATCTGCCATGCCACTTTCGCACGGCAGCTTGTCCCTCTGTGGTTGACGGTCAGTCATTTTCGGCACCAACCCCAATTCTGGGCCCATTTCTCTTTCTTCCATCAGCTTTGGTCCCTACACCTCTTCTTCGGTCCTCCGACTGACAAAATTTCGGCTTCTTCTTTCGGGGCTTTGTGCTGTTGGCCCTCCTTAAGTTTCCTGTCCCCTAAGGTCGGCTTTTCTACTTCCAGATGTACCTCCTTTCCTTGGCAGGCCATTTTCTTTACATCTCTTTTGTGTTCAATTTCAGCAAGCATTTCTTCGTGGCTACCATCCATCACTACACCATGAGAAAAACGTCATCTGCTTTAAGTTACAAGGTCTTGTAAAGTCACCTAACTCTTGCTGAAGTAGCAACTGAAAAGTATAGCATAGCCACCATATAAGGAAATTTTTTGACAAGAATTCAGAAAGAAAATGTGACATGACCCAATATTATAGTTTGCAACACTGTTAAATGGAACTGATGGCAAACAGTTGAATTGCTGACAAAAACAGTTTCCTAAAATATTCATAAAAAAGGATTTGTTTTATCAAGTGAAATGGGTAAAATACAATAAACAAGGATTCGCTATGTGAACTACTTGTGCATGATAACAGAACATTTTTTTTATATGTTAATAAGCGTCAAATGTACAGTGAATACAAAATTATCACGCCCCCTTCAAAAATACCTCTAGTGTACGTGGTATGTGCACAGAGGGTTTGGAAGTTCAAGGAAGTACATCTCAAATGCAGATCCGTTGGAATGTACATCCTGAAGAGTTTTCTGATATTCACAGACAACTGGCACCAAATGCTCATCAAATTCATGCCTGTCAAAATTGAAATCAACATTAGTAACCTTATATATCAACCCTTATTCAGCTATCAGAGGATCCAGAAGAAATGCATCCTAATTAATTTCACTCCCAGCATCTTTGTAACTGGCAATTAAAGTGTGTCGGGGTGACAACCAATTACGTGAAGACGGGAGAGGCACCATCTCTTGAAATGCTCTGTACAGCAAAAACACGTCACATATGGACAATGCCAAGCACATGACTGGTATCAAAAATCGAGCATTGCCACAGATGCTTAGAGAATCACAAGTATTGAATATCTGCTTGCATGCATAAATTGCTAGGTTAATTATAATGAATCCACAGAGTTTTCAGTTTGGGAGAATCAAAATACAGACAATAACAGATTTTACATGAGCTTCTCAGTTATTTAGCACTGGATCACACATAGATTCCTCCCACAATCCCTTTGAATTTGACATATTCTGTGCATGCCAGCAACCCCACGGGGCTACAAAGAAAAAATATCCATATATTTAGTCTACTCAATCAAAATAACCTTTGATTCACGACATTAATTTATGTGAAGATCTGATCCTGTTTGTGCAAGAATTAACTTCAGTACAGCCTGTTTTACAAGACCCATTGCAGTTTTACCTTCTCTTCCAACTTCTGCTTTCTCAGTATCAGCCTAGGCATGGAAGTGCAATATGGATGACCCTCTCTGCTACTAGAATCAGAGTCTCAAAGTCTGTGTTCAGATGCATTCACTTACACTGCTTGCATACACTGTTCCCTTCAACCACAGCAGCAACAGCTGATCCAGTCTGATCCTACATAACCACACCTATTTAAATGGCACTGTCTACACACTTGTCTCAATGTCAGAAGTATTAGAAACTCTCTTGATACTATTTCCACCTTATCATGGTGAGGGTGTCTGCAGTCCCTGAAAACATTCAGTAGCATAGCTACTGGTGCAGCTTCCCTCACTAGACATAGAGATAGATACCAGAGAAGGAGGTGTGCACTGGTTTTGCAAGTTGGGCATTATGTGGGTAAGCTGTTAATATCTCTGCTAAAGAAAGTCAATACTCCAGAGAGGGGCAGTGTATGCAATGTTAAAATAGGCTTCACTGAATACCACGAAGCAAAAATGAAATAAGAGTAAGATGAACTTTCTCTCATAGCGGGAGGCCAACAAGTGTTCTCTAGGGTCAGTCCAAAAACCTCCTGCAGTGTCCTTGACTGGTTAAGATGACTTCTGGGACAATGCAGAATTACAGACAACAGAAAAATAAAGTGTATTCTGATGTGTGGACACACACTCCCTTGGGGCTGAACTGACATGGAGGCCTTACATCTCACACCATGGCATATGTTTGTGAGTAGGTAAAGTAAATGTCAGATGTCTCTCCCAGAAAAATAAATACTGAATTAAAATCTGGAAATCAAAGCCATATACTTGTATTTATAAAATTGTTACATCAAACTCCATTCACGGTAGGTGGGAACACATTTTACGACACATCTTATTTCCGCTGTTATTCCATATTTATATATAACTGTGGGGTTTTATGTTGTTTGTCATTACTCCGATGACAACCCACTTCTTTGGAACAGTTTGTTGGTCCTGAAAAGGACGTGGTTGCTGAGATACTTGACCGGTGAGGTAGCGCGGCGCGCGCCGG